ACAGAAAAGTGAATTACAAGTGTTTTGTGAGATCTATTTTTACCACAATAAAACAATGTTTTTAAAAGAGTTATTGAACTGTATTTCACAACTCTGGTTCATAGTAAATGCTTGTCAATAATTTATAGCAAATAAACTCAGTGCCACTGGGAGTGGGGACATGATGTTGAAATAGCACAGGTTAACAAAGCCTTCTGCCAAAGACAAAACTGCAAACACTGGGGAACCTGATGGTACTGGGAGACTGGAAGGCAGCTGACCCATCAGGACACTGTATCAGACTTGTCCCATTCGGTGTCCCAGGGAACCGTCCCTCATCCCAGTAAGAGCAGATTCTTAAGAGCAGCCAGGAGCAGTCTCCTCCTGACCTTCCAGACCTTGAGATGCTGACAAGCAGCATCACAGGTGCTTGTGGCTAAGCCATCAGCCGCTCAATGTGTGGTCTGCACAGATGCGTTGCTGCTTCTGCTGGATCTTAGGTCTGAGTCATCTTTTATTTATGTCCTTCTACAACATTTCCATAGATGAGTTGTGATGAACATCATCCATCTGTATGAGTGTCACAGAACTGAATAGGCTCGAATGGAGGCTTTGAAATCCCCAGGATATGTCTGGATCTGAGAAAGAGTTGCTCACTACAGGTTTTAAACAAGGAATTTCTCTCTTTCCCATAAATTGACCTTGTGGGGTTATTTGTGGATTCTTATAGGGAAATAGCCTTCCTAGGCCCCCATGCTGTGGCAGCCCCCAGCCAGCTGATGTTGTCCACTGGCTCCTGTGGACTTCCAGGACAGGACTGCTGAGGACAGAGTCCACAGTGCCGTCAGGCTGAAGAACTGCCAGCTCCTTTCTTGTTCCTGGGGATTTTGTGTCTTGGCTCTTTCCTTCTGCCATTTGTCCACCCATCCATCTATCCATCCATGCACCCTCCCGTCTGTCTGCCTGTCCATCTGTCCATCTATCCATCATTCCACCCACCCATCTGTCTGTCCATCTGCCCATCCATCCATCCACCCATCTACCTACCCATCCACCCACTCACCCACCCACCCATCTGTCCATCCATCACTTTAGTATTTATGGAACCCCTGCATTTTGTGGACAGAGCCCTAGCACTAGAGTAACGCCATGACCAGCCTCTGCTTTTGTGGACTTAAAAACTGAACAAATGATTAAGCAGGTCCTTATTCATTGGTCACTTTCTGAAGAGTAAGTGTCTCTGGATGGCACAAATGGCTAAGTTCTGGGCTGTTAACTGCAAGGTTGGAGGGTCAGGTGTACCCAGAGGCACCTCAGAAGAAGGGCCATGTAATCTCTTTCCAAAAATCAACCACTGAAAATCCCCGTGGACCCCGTTTCTACTGTGACAATGACAGGATTGCCATGACTGAACAGAACCAGTTTGGCTTTTGTTAAAAAGAACTCTGGAAACATGCAAGGGCTGTAAGGGCTCATTGGGATCCTGCTGTCTCTGTTGTCCCTCTCCTCCTGTTCATGTAGGACTTTGGGTGACTGTGTAAGTGGCTGGCTTTCAACACTCCTCACACGCACACCACCACTACCACCACCACCACTTGCCTCTGCCCTTTGGTATGAAACCTTGACCTTGGTGGACACGCTGCCTCAGACCCCTGCCTGCTCTTGCTGGAGTTCCCATCCCTACTCTTTCTCTACTCACACTCACGGCTCCATCCCTGTCACCCTGCTGCAAATAGAGGCAGCCCAGTTACTGGGCCCCTCTAACCACAGGCTGAGGCCCTCTGGGAGAGCCAACTGCCAGACACACACATGGATGTGAGGATGTAAGGTATGACCATGAACTCATGACCATTCCACCAGGCCAGAGGCATCATCATGGAAACCTCTTCTTATATTTTCTTGATGATAAAAGTAAAATATGTATGCTATCATAAGATCTATCATCTACTCTATCTTTGAATAAAGTAAAAGTTTAGTGTTTCCCTGTCTTCCATTACATCTATCTCCAGAAATAAACACTTTCATCAAATTGCTATGTATCCTTCCAATTCTTTGGGGTTTCCTTTTATGTTATGTTTATTTATATCTTATCCTTTATATTCACCAATCTGTCCACCACCCACCTGTCAGTTTATGGTACTGTGGTGGTTTGTCTTTGCTATGATGCTGGAAGGGACCCATGATGGACAGGTTTGAGTGGAGGTTCCAGGCTAAGACAGACTAGGAAGAAAGGGCTGGTGATTGACTTCCAAAATCTAGCCAGTGAAACTCTGTGGCTCACATCAGAACCCTGCCCAGTTCGGTGCTGGAAGATGAGCCTTCTAGGTTCAAGGGCACTCAAGATACACAGTTGTTGTTGTTGTTGTTTGCCGTCGAGTAGGCCCCGACTCATAGCGACCCCTCCTTGGGTTTCCGAGGCAGTATCACTATGGAAGTAGGATTGCCCAACCTTCCTTCCGAGGAGTGGCTGGTGGGTTTGAACCGCCAGCCTTCTGGTGAGCAGTCAAGTGCCTTAGGCACTATGCTACCAGAGCTCCTAAGATACACAGTAGCCACAGCAATGTACTCCAACACATCCACCATCATGAAGATGGTGCAGGACCCGGTAATCTTTTCTTCTGTTGGATGTGGGTCACCGTGAGTCAAAACAAACTTGGTGGCAACTAATAATGACAACCTGTATTCATATTGTCCCGTAATCCACTTTTTTTTTAATTTGACAACTTATCACAGACACTTTCCGTGACAGTACACACAAACTCTCCTCTCCTGTCCAGGTGCCTAGGGAGTCATTGCATGAATGTACCATGACTTCTTTGAAACCAGTCCCCATTAATGAGCACTTTTAAGTTCTGCCATATTTTGTCATAATAAATCTTGCAGCAATGACTACCCTATACATAGGTGTTCTTGGTGTTAGATTTTTATTGGAAAGCATTTTGGTTAACATCATGTTTTTTTTTCCTTTTGAGCATTTTTTATTGTGATAAATATATATATATGTAGCACAACCTTTGCCATTTCAACATTCTTTGCACACACAATTCAGTGACCTTACTTATACTTAACATGTTGTGATTTTTTTTATTGTTGTTGAGAGTAAGCACAGCAAAACATACACCAATCCAACAGTTCCTACATGTGCAGTCCATTGACAGTGATTACATCCTCCCAGTCATGCAGCATTGTCCCCTGAATTGTTCCTCCCCCGTGACCATGAACTCACTGCCCCCTAGGCTTCCTGTCAGACCTTTCGAGCTGCTGTTGCCAGTTACATCCCATACAGGTGAATCTTCAAAAGAGCAGGATGTTCAAGGCAAACAATCTTGGCTAATTAAGGTATCCCATTGTTTGACTTAAAGAAGACTTCAGGGGATATTTTTGGTTAAAAGTTTAAAGATTATCCTAGGGCAACAGTTTCGGCGGTAATCCAGCTTTGATGTCTCCAGAAAGTCTGGATTCCATGAGAATTACATCATGAATTTTTAAAGGTTTTTAATACATGATGGGGTGCTCTTAACCACATGGCTGCATCCACTGACTTCCCCCCTCCAATTGCAGCTGGTAGATTCTTCTCTGGGGACCTGTGCCCCTCTGCTTCCAGGCGACCCACACACTTACCTGGAGTGTGTTTGCTGTTTACTTCAACTGAATATTATTCTAATTGTAAAATTTATTTCATTAAAATATAAGCTAGAAAATAAATATGACTAGGAAAAGAGTTGTGTTTAAAAAGTGTGATATTGTTGTGATTCCCAGCTTGAACTAATTTTTTAAATAACTCTCCATTGACCCCAGTCCTGTCAGATATAATGGCTTCTACTGTCACATAAGCTCCATCAAAATAGTGTGTGTAAGTTATATCCACTTTAAATCTGCCTTGCCAAGATTGGCATAAAATCTCATGGCTGTTTGGTTTGTAAATCGTGTTATCTTCACTCCTAATAAATGCTTAAGAACCAGGATGTCTTATCTAAGGTATCCAGTGTACAAGTACTCCTAAACTTACCATGTATTCAAGTTACAATGAACCACACTTAAGACCATCTGTTTTTTGTACATCTCATTGTTAGTAATGTTTCCTGCATATAATGTTGCAGTGTGTAATTCGCTGAGACTATCATTCTCCAAGTTCAGTCACAGGTGTTCAATGTTAGGGTTTATAAAGATCCTAAAAGACAATAATAATGGAAAAATGAGGTATCCGATTTACGTCAGAACCAACTTGGGGTGGAGTCATTGAAGCAGAACCCCACCATTAAGTTGGGGATGTCCTGAAATTTGTTTTGATGAAAGTTGATTTACAGACTTTCTATTGGCACACACCAAACCATTTTAAGCTCTTCTGATGCCTATAGAGACATTATGTTCCACCTTATACAATAGAAACAGAAAACCTGCAAATCACAAACATTGCCTTTGAAAGTGAGAGAAGGTCCATAAAACATCCTGTCACTGTCTAACCTAAAGCAACAGTAAAAGTGATTTCACAGCCCCTTCAAATTTTGCAAACCCTTTGTGAGTCCCTTTGCAAGTATTTAATAATCATTTGTCCGACATATGGCTACACAGAGGTATATTTTCACAAGGTTGGCAGCATAGGTATCTCTTATTAAGTCATAATTCATTAAGAAATAGGTTATACCAAATTCATTCAACAAATATTTATTAGGTGCCAACTGTATACCAGTTGGCTGGTAGCTGCTGGGGCTGCCACAACACAGTGGTGGTCACTGTCCTCAAGATGCCTGTGGTCTGGCTAATGACTTTGAGCCTGTGGGAAGGCACAGACTAGTAGCTTAGTCAGCATTGCAGTGGTCTGGCGAGGCGTGTGCCTGGCCAGTGCACCAGGATATTGTGACATGAAAAGAAAGTTTTTTTGTGAAGTCTGTGAATTCTCTTAAGTTGTGTTCTTCGAGGCTCAGCCACTCACGTATCAATTCCACTTTAACTGTATAGCATGTGACAAAGCACCGTAGAGACTACAAGACTGTGTTTTCACTGCTGTGTTTCTCTCCTAGGACATCAATGAGTGTATTCTTGAGAACTATCCTGAGTGTTCCAACCCCAGGTTATTTTACATCATTCCGTATTTTTGTGGACAGCATCCCAGATGCAGGTAAAGACTCGAACAGGCTGTGGCATGCTGATGTGCACAACTGTGGCAGACATCCCACCAGACGGGCACTCTGGGTGGGACTCTTGTGTCCCTAGTCTCCCAAACTTCTGGAATTCAGTTATTATTTACTGTCAGTCTGTAAAGATATTATTTGAATATCCTCTAAGTAATGAAATCAACACAGCACGGTCTCCCAGAGGCCTCAGGAGATGGCCACGCAACCTCTCCTTTTGACTTCAAGACTAACTGTCACAACTAAGCCCAAGAGGTAACAAAGGCCAGGGTCAGGCACCCAGTCTGCTCTCCTGCAGTGATGGGACTCAGCGAACAACGGTCCCTGTCATTGGAGTGTGTCTAAGAAGATCTGAGAAACTTGAAGCTCACACCCAAACTTTGCTATGGTCTCTTAGGAGACATACTTAGAATGACAGGAAAGTCCTGTCTAGGGATCACTCCGATGCAAGACCTTCTTTAGAAAGTAGCTTACCCAGAATGATTGTGCAGGACCTCAGAGAGGAGGCTGTAGTCTGCTAATCTCCTGCATCATCACCCTTGGAGCACTTCCATGATAAGAATCCCTAAAGTACAGTCTCTGAGGCCAAGACACAGGCATCTGTAGCTACTTCCTCAGGTGCTTTGGTCATCTAGTGTTGTAACAGCAAACACCATAAATGGGTGGCTTTGACAAACAGATATTTATTCTCTTACCGTTTAAGAGGTTAGACGTCCAAGCCAATTAACTGTAGGGGCTAGGTGAAAGCCCACCAGCCTTGGGCTTCAGCTCTGCCTGTTGCTCCCAACCCACTGAAGCTAGAGGGTTCTCTTAACTCAGGCAGCTGCTGGCTGATGAGGCTGACAAACCCAAGATCAACAAATAAAATGGCACAGTCCCAAGATTACCAAACAACACAGCAGGTCCCTAGTTCAAGTCCAGAGATAGTCCCAAGATTGTCAGGAAACATGGCAGACTGTTGAATGAAAACTCGGCTACATGCAGGTTCCACACATGCTGAAAAGCTCCAAGACCTTTCTCAATGCTTCTCCTTATACGTTGGAAGAAGACCACATCCCTAAGGCAGCTACTCAGCTGCTCTAGTAGATTCTACCATGGGGTTGATTACCAGTCTCACCATGGGGAATAACTACATCCAGCTGCCCAGCCACTGAAAACTTGGCTGGCCAAGTTGACACACAACTACCACACCAGGTAATGCTGGTGTAGCTACAGATGCAGTCCATCATACTAGATAAAGGTGGTAGGTAGAGAAGAAATAGTAGTAACAACAAAAATTACCAGAGGTGACATTTTTCCCCAAAGCCAACTAATCAGAAGGTAATTATGTTCTGGACGGCAAGGGGAGAGAGTTGTTTCTAAATTACGGTTCATTCACTGTGCTTTTCTGCTTCCACTGGGGTGACTGTTAAATGATTAACTGTGTTAGCGTTGCTGTTTTGTTCTGTTTACCCTAAAACTTTGCTGATAATCAGAATTCAGGGTGTAGAAGTGTCAGTTTTCTACTTCATCAAAAACTTCCTGAGTTCAGGATGCCCTTAGCCCTCACCCTTGATAATAAATGCCTCGTCCAGGGGCAGGAGTCCCGGTGGTGCAGTGGTAAAGCACTCGGCTGCTAACTGTAAGGTCAGAGGTTTGTATCCACCAGCCACTCCTTGGGGGAAAGGTGTGGTAGTCGGTTCCTCTAAAGGTTACAGCCTTGGAAACCCTGTGGGGCAGTTTTACTCTGTCCTATAGAGTCACCATGAGTCAGAATTGACTCCACTG